TTTTTATCGCTGTTGCTGTTTATACGGCAGGGAATTACAATTATTAGTAGAGATATGCATGTTAGTGGGTTTGTCTTCAAGTAATTATTAAGTGTAAAGTATTCGTCAGGAGCTTCAAAATGATGTGCCACAAGACCCCCGCTTTCATATGATTTTGTTTCCGAGATGACGCCCAGCGGCTATCTTGACATTTTCGTCTGTCAATTTTACTTTAAAATATGGTATCCACGAAACAATTTTATTGCCTCAAGTTTTAATCTTTTGAATTTAAAAATCAAAGGGGAGGGGGACATTAAAGAAAAGCACTACATATCAGTATGAGAAATACTAATGTGCGAGTTCATAACGAACCGAGTGTTCTTTGGAAGATCTACTACCCATCGAAGACGTAAAATTGTGCTTTCATTTGGTTCTGTAGAAATCTGGTTGAAGGTATAATTTTGGCTGAGCACGATTTATCTAATGCGGTAGCAGCTCAGTAAAAAGTGGTACTATTCTTTACTTTGAACAACGGCCAGATAAGACATGACAACGAGTAACGCGAATAATGTTTGCTTCACACTTCAATTCTGGCGCATTTCATATCAATAAATCCAATACTATCTGTTTTTCAACGTCAGTGAGGTAATTTTTGACAATTTTTCTTCATAAAAATCTCAACCTCATACTGCCTTTCTGTGAAAGCTTAGTTAAACTTCTATAAACAATGCAGCACGCTTTATATTCCAAAGCGCTGAAAATATGTTGACCCAGATAATCCATCATCCAGGCTAGGAATTATCCCAGTTTTTACTAGCTCTTACATATATATGCACGTATATCACTGTTGACATGGGAGAATACAGAACTGTATAGTGGAGCAATGAAAGAACGTATACTCGTACCTACAAACTTTTTCATTAGCGTGCAAGAAATAAAATAAAAATGTGAAAATATATTTTACTCCCCACCCTATTTTTCTAGTGAAACTTTAACACAAGGCTAGTACTATGACAAGGACGGAAACATGTGTTAATCTCGTGACAGCGGACATAAGGGCAAATAATGTAAAAGAAAGAATCGCTCAAACTTAGTTTAAGGATGCTTTAGGCACGTGCTCATTTTCGAAAAATTTTGGAGAGGTCGAGAATATCAACATATCACTGCACATTATATGAAAAAAATGCGTCAAGTAGGTTGATTCTGCACTTTACACGCAACGCTGTTATCAGTTCATGAAAGATTATATTCGGCACAAGTATGTTTCTAGCTCCTAGCATGTATAACAAAAATATATAGATCAAGTCAGTTAAACAAGCCCGTATAGCTAGTCTATGGTTTATACTCATTTGATAATGCTGCATTCTAGAAATATTTCGCCTGCTTTACCGACAGTACCGACCTTCTGGCAACGTTACTATGACTAACCTCGCCACTTGCCAGTTATGGCACTAACTACGTCAGTCACCACCGACTATGAAACCCATATACTCATCTTGTCAATGTTGTGTCAAATATGTCTTATTGGTGCGAAGCCTTATCGGTGTTGGAACCGCAAAAAAAAGAAATACTCCCTCCCCCATCCCCAATTATTAATCACTACACCGGATGTCAGAAATTACAAGGCCTTTTCATCCTTGGCATAGTAGTCATCCGGTACCTTCTAAGTTATGGATGGGCCAAGGATTACCGGGCAGGACTGAAATAAGTGTACATGTCATATAAGATCAAAAAACATGTTCCATTTTCGAAATTTTTCGCGATTACAATAGTTAAGTAACGTTTGAAGTAAGTAAGTGAGAACTATCTAGTCTGTTCCAAATTTCCAGCATTGCATGTGAAGAACAGAGCAATCTGCTTGGTGTCGGATTTTAATGAAATTTTCACACAAGGTTACTACTGTACCAAGGATGAAATAGTTTTACAGTTTTTGAAAATCCATCTAGAGATAACGGAGCTGAAGGGCAAAACACGATTGATTGTGCAATGGGTAACAAACTCCAAGTGGTCAGCGGTGGTGTTATTACTGACACACCGCTACATGTGGAATATCTAACAATATTTGAATATTATCAGTACGTACCACTTTAGCGTTCGGCGATGCTTTTCTGAATGATGACTAAATTGTTTTTATATCTATGCATATATTTTTCTGAATTTTATGATCCTGAAATGTACCACCCATTTCGCATAACCTTCAATTTGTATTAATTCGTATATGATAGTTCTCTGAATATTTCGTCAAGTAGATTGACTCAGTACTTATACATAAATGAGAAAAATGGACTTGTGTGATGAAGATATCTTTAAGCAACAGAAAACTTGTGAAGTTCGAATATTATCGGGAGTTTAATTAGCTGGAACATAGAGTTATAATATTTTAGAGAGTCCTGATCATTTTCAGAAATTGTTTGGAAGGGATGGGCATTGTAGTTTGGAAGCTGTATGTGATAACAGGATGTAAATTGTTGATTATTTGGTGTCAGTGAAAGACCTTTCATTAAGAAGCTGATCTCAGTGATACTATGCGCCTGACAGACATAATAAGTCGCACATATTTTGCATACATCTGCTATGGAAACAGAAATATGATAGATTTGATTTAAATAGTCTGATATACAGAGGTCGAAGACTCAAGGTACCTAAGTGAAACTACCCAATAACGATTAGTAGTAGCCGTAGTAGTGATGTTGAGGAGGCGAAGTCTGCCAACTAGACTGCCCTTGACTGTTTTTGTTGACCTCCACATGCTCATTTACCGCAGCTCCAGCAATGTGAAGCACATATTTGATTTTGCACCGATTTGGTGCGTACATATATAGACAAACGTAACATTCGTGACTCGAAATGAAACTTCCAAGGCTAAGATTCGAACCTGTGAGCCTTCTAGCCCATGTGACACCAGCTCGACTACGTAACACGCCTGGATCCCCCAGCCTTCCTTCTCCTGTACTATCGAACGTATGCTGCCTGTCACCATAATGTTATGCATTGCTCTTGCAGTATGCATAACTTATTCATGCTTGGTTTTATCTGCTGGTTACGTAACTAATCCACACTTTCATGCTTGCTCATCCAAACTTCACTGACGGTTATATGCTAATTTTATTTTTCTGTACATAAAACTCTGATGTTTTGTACGCTTATGCACGCCCGGCTACTTCACTGTTAGCACTACGACCTATTTTTGCAGGCTTATCTTCAGGCGACCCGAATTTTGTTGGAGGTGTATCAAAAAAAGTTCGAGTGTTTATAAGCCGCGATACCGAAAAAACTCCTTAGGGATTACGAAACTCTGAGACAGGTATCCATATCTGTATTATAATGCGTAATAGCATTCCATTGTCGGGGCGATTCAAAGTACAAACTATCTAATTTCTGTTAATTGTACGTTTCGGCCATCGCGGTGGCCTTTTTTTCGTACTATGAGAAAAATATGTTTTGTTTATCTGTCTTTCAGAAGACAATTTACTTATTTTTACTTTTCGTGATTCCTATACAATTTTAAGGTGGTACCGCGTAAAATCAGAAAACTTGAGGATAGACTGGGGTAAGCAATCTTTTTCTCAAAGTACATGCAGCTTGCTACAGGATCGATCAAACTATTGTCACCACACACTGTATGTGGATGAAGAAAAAAAATGAACTGCACAATATAGTGCCATTAACTGTCATTGAAATTCATGGTGGACGAAAGTAAAACATGTAGTTAGATATGGTTAAACAATGGGGTCCTATGAATATGAAAGGTACCGGATAAGTTTCTAGAGTTACGATGATGGTGTTTAGCTAGATTTGTTATTTTACTATGCATTACTTTGTCGCAGCCTGGTGATCTGATGACCCATTCAGAGTCAATTTACCTGATTCCTGGCGGTATTCTGACGTTACCACATAATTTCTGCTTGCCTATGACTGAAATAGTTCAGCTGGTAATAACAACAGACATAGTCACATTCGTTTTATTGAAACGTTACTCAATTTGCGATGTGGTACTTATGTATTAAGTACAACAAAGTATAGTATGGTACGATCACATTGTATAAATATTATTATTGTGGAATCTTGAAATTTTCAACAGTTTTCAAGGCGGTTTTTATTTTCATAATGGATAAAATAACAAAAAACGGAAAATAAGAGTAGCTTTGTGCTTGGCTATGTATCTAAATATTCCAAATCAGAGACAGAGAAAGTCTTGGGTGAAAACATGGTTGGAAAATAGCAACAGATATGAACATTTGCCTCTGCATTTGGAATTTTGTCGGAATTGATTTCTCTATTGATTTCTAAACAAGACACAAAATTGCGTGAAAGCATAAGTGACGAAGAAAGACTAACAACTACTTTAAGATACTTAGCTACAGGTCTTTCGCTTGAAGATTTGAAATTTTCAAGTGGAATATCCGCACCATCTTTATGTAAAATTATACCTTAGACATGTAAAGCTATACATATATATGGAGTATTAAGAAAAATATATTTAAGAGTAAGATTACTTGTTTTATTAAAATAAACTTCTTGTGGTAACAAAACTTGAATATAAACTAACAATGTTCTCAAGAAAGCTAAAAAATAAATAACAAAGTCCTGACTAGCCTGCTCTTAGTACGCTGTTATACTTGCTGAATCTAAATAATGTAATTGAGATGTTCTTCCTGGGTGACGTAATGCAGAATTTGATGAAGCAACACTCTATGGGCAAGGGGGTGAGAAAAGCGGAAGTGGAGTTGTTGTCTGTTGCATAATTACCTTGTCGTGCTTAATTGGTTTAATAATCCTTTATTTATAACTTGATTAATAAGCATATCTGCATCAATAGCCTGAGTTGGATTCATCTTTTTAAGTTTTTTCGATAACAAAATTACGGCTGCTCAAATTCATCAATTTCATTTTTGCTTTTAAGCTGATTCTTGCAGTAATTCATGAAATCTGCCTGGGTCTTATTTTTTTGAGAAATCTTAGTTCTTTTATTTGAGGCAGGCTTGAATGAAGGCAGTTGGACATTTGCAGGTTTCCGAAAAAAATAAAATATTATTTTAGTTTCCATCTACGCAGCAGGATTCGCTGGAAGTGGCAAATGGATTTTAAAAAAAAATGGCAAATTATAAACTGTGGAGGAGCTCTGGATGGCAAGCACATTCGCATTTTACCTTCTCCATATTCAGGAGCACAATACAATACAATTAAAATTTTATAGTATAATTTTAATGGCCCTCGTCAATGCTAACTACGAATTTATTTTTGTCGACGTGGGCAAAAATAGAGGAATATCTGATGGAGGAGTAATTGAAAGCACCAAATTTTATCATAAGTTAATACATGGTAAGCTGTTATACTTGTATATACGTAATTTTAAATAACATCATTTTGTGGTTTTAGGCCAGTTACATTTGCCAAATAATACAGACACAAAAAACAATTTCAATTTTGTATTTTTGGGCGATGAAGCATTTTCTTTATATGAAAACTTTTTAAAACCGTATTCTCAAGGAGATCTTTTTTATAGTAAAAGAATTTTTAACTATATACTATCACGAGCGAGAAATTTTTCGGAAAATGCATTTAGCGGCAAGGTTTAGAATTCTGCATACACCAATACATAATGAAGAACCCGCAAAACATATGTTACGATGTACTTGCTATTCGTTCTCTCCACAATTTTCTTAGGAAGCGTGATACTTTTTATACAACATCAACATCATTTGATCAAGAAAATCTGATAACTAAGAAGTTAAAGATGGGTGATTGGAGAAAAAATGCAGCTAATATGACAAAATTAGAAAGTCGTAATAAAAGAGTAGCTACCATAGCTGCCAAAAACTAATCGAGATAATTATAAAAGTTATTTTAATTCAGATGGAAAAGTTGCTTGGCAGGATGAGATGTTAGCCAAACGAAAAGCTTAATGTACCTAAAAAACTTACGTGTGTATTATTTCTTTCTGTTTTGTCTTGAAATTCAAATTCTTCTTCAGTAGAGTAATTGGAATTTTCTGTTCCTTCAACTTCAATGTTACAAATGCTTTGGGTTGGTAGTCCCTGATCAATAGTAAACTGGACTAAGTCGAAATACCATAATGTGGGAGTATAAATTTCATCTGTACTAGCTCCACTTGGTTTGGAATCCTCTATCTTTTTTAATTCCTTCCGAAACGAACCACGAAAACTTTGTATTTTCTCCACAACATAATCTCGACTTGCTTGTGGATGTAATTTTGAACAAAACTCAACTAATTTGTCGTAAGCAGCATTTTTTAAATTTTTGTTTGTATGTTCTCGGGATTTGATTTTCCATAAGCATGGATACGATTTATATAGTCAACGCCAAACAAAGTGGCGTGCACGTCATCACGATAAAAATTCCCCGACCTAATGCCTAGGTTTCTATCACAAACAATTGCTCTATTGCAGTTTCATATTAATGTGATATATAAATTGTAAAATGGTCATTACTCTCTTATTATGGTTAATAGTCATATAAACATTGTTATTAAAATATCACATAAGTTGCTTTCTGATAAATTTAGACGCATTATGCGAAATAAAATGTTTTGCAAACGCTCCAATCACTTATCGACATGTAAACGCACTAAACCGATTTCGCAGCGTTGACACATTGTCACCTTGAAAGTTATTTAAACTGGGAACTGACATTTGTATTAATTTTGACACTGAATCAATTTGTGGCATTTCAAATCTTTATAAATCCTTTGGCCCCGCATACTGTAAATCAACAACTGTTTGTTTCAAAACAAAATTATTCATTTTACGAGTAGATAAAGGCAATTTTGGTATATAAAGATGCCCAAACAGTTAAATAGTCGGTGTAAGGAACTCGTGGCCTCGTTAATGCACTACTTTGAGCAAGAAAGGGACAACAACGGGCCTTTGTTGCCTTTAAATGCTGTTCAAGAGGTAGGTTACTAATAATTATATGTAATGTATATTAATAATAGTGAAATTTTATTTCATTTTTTGTAGCGTGTTGCTGCTGCTTTAAAAATTAGTTTAAGGACAGTTAGTCGTATTTCCGAGGGTGTGAAAAGTGATGCAAATTTAGAATCGCCCAAGAAAAAGCGGAGTTATATTAAACGTGTAACCAACACAGCGACATTGGATACAAGTGCCATTCGAGAAATGATCTATAATATGTATCACAAAAGTAAGATCTTATTATAATAACTTATCAGAAATTTGCATTAATTTGTTAACTAAATTATAATGTCATATTACACATGGTTTCAGAAGAACAAGTTACGATACAAACTTTATGGTCTCGATTAAGAGATAGGGCATTATTTGATGGTAGTGCCACGTCTTTAAGGCGGTTGCTTAGAGATCTTGGATTTAAGTGGCTTAAGGACAATCCGCGACGAGGGCTCATGGAACTACCAAGTATAGCTTTGAAAAGGGTGGAATTTCTAAGGCAATACAATCAAGCCAAGGTTGAGGCCTTATACCAGTTTGTCTTCCTCGATGAAACTTGGATATTTTAAAATGGGACCATAGGTCGCTCTTGGCAAAATGGAAACCAAAAAAGCGTGAAAGCTATTAAAACAGATGGTAAAAGGTATGTACTTTTACACAATTTGCACTATAAAATTTAAAACTAATATATTTTAGATACATTATATTACATGCTGGAAATGAAAATGGGTTTATTGAGGGTAGTGAAGCGATATTTTCTTCGAAAACAAAATTGAGCGATTACCATGGAGAGATGAACCAGGACAATTTTTTGAAATGGTTTCAACATCAGTTATTAGAAAAATTGGAGAGTCCATCTATGATTATACTGGATAACGCCCCTTATCACAGCATGATATTGAACAAAGTGCCCAACAATGCATGGACAAAAAAAAATATCCAAGACTGGTTGACAAATCAAAACATACCATTTTTAAACACAATGTTTAAAACAGAGCTATTGAGTATTGTTGTTCGGTACATAATGCTTCTTAATTATATATATTTTGGTCGACAGTTTATATTTCTTTTGTTTATTCCTATTCTTAAAATAACTGCTTCTTTAGAAACAAACCACCTAAAATATACGTGATTGATGAATTGGCGGAACAACATGAGCACAAAGTTCTTCGTCTGCCTCCTTACCATTGTATATTAAACCCTATTGAGTTAATTTGGGGCATAGCAAAAGGTTACTATAACAGACATATTGGTAGAGATGGTAACAGTAAAAAAGACTGTTTGGATATGTGGAACGAGGCTCTACAAACGGGTACCCCAGACATGTGGAAAAATAGTGTTCGACATACTGAGCAAGAAATTTTTAAATGGTATGAAAGAGAACGAATTTTTGATCGACCAGACATCGAACCTTTAATAATCAACTTTGAGAGTGATGAAGATTCAGATTCAGACAGCGCTGAAGAAAGAAACTCCGACTAACTTTATTGTACAGAAAAAGCTTACACCAGTAGCTTACCTAATTTTAGAATGCATTTTTCTGTATGAATTCTGTAAAATAAATAACATGCATAAAATTTGGAGGACCCCATTTGGATTTTATTCAGTACCTTTAAGCTATCAATTAAATATGGTAGTTTCATAGTGTCATCTGATCAATAATTGTCATACTTAATGATTATGCAAGTACAGATCTATAATTTTATTATACTATTATTTTTGTTCTCATTTGAGGTTAATATTGCTTATAAACCTAGATATGTAAATAATAAATTTTATTATTTTACAAAAAGTTTGGCAACAATGTAAATTTTTCAACACACCCACCTTGATGACGTGCACGCCACTTTGTTTGGCGTTGACTATATATTTCAATAGACTCTGAAACAACTTCTTTCGACCAATATCGTGAATCTGCCATATTACCTACCTGACATTTAACATGATTAAAGCTTTGTATAAGTATAACTATCAATAAAATACTTACCTACGCTAGAATACAACTTATGCATAATTATTACTTGCGCGAAGGTAGAATGAAACATGCACGAAACTCACTGGCGACAAGTTTGAACACGTCTAAAAACCGAGCGATTATTTCTCATTTACACTGGCATGCTTTCGCACACGATTGGAACGGGACATTCCAGTCCCATAGGAAAAAGGGCAAGTGTAAAGGTACTTATTAGAAACTTCTAAAAAATTTGCTACGGTGAGCAGAACAACTAGCTCGCAATACCGAGCAATAAAGGTAAACATAATAAAGTTAACAATTCACGAATTAAGGTGTTTCACTATGGAGTAAAAGCTCACAAGATACACATTTTATAAGATGGCGATCCTCTAGATTACGAAAGTGTTACAAAATGTTAATGTAACAATTGAAACTTATCCTGAGGTTTTCATGTTGATAATCCCCCCATATTTGTCTGGCCACCGTGGTGACCGAAACGACGTCATCGCATTTCAAGCATATATGGTTTTAATTAGCAGCCAGACAAACATAAAGGATTGACAACAATGGTTCATTCTATAATAATTCGTTTTTATCTCGGTGTAATATAACTAAAGTTCAAAAATAATAAGAATTATCAATTTTGCCAAATATTTTGGTGTGTCATGAGAAACCGGCTGAGGATCATAAACACTGGTGTTGGTGTTTGTGTAATTTGTCAAATGGGGGGATAGGGAATCAAGTTTCAGGTCAAACATCTTCCTTAGGCAGCCAACATTGAACCAGTCTTGCTATTACTACTATGCATGATGATCGATTGTGCAATACTGGTGAGAACATACTATATCATATTTTGAGAGTCGCTTGTTATACCGTAGCAGTTGCGAAGGCAGAAGCCGAAATTTTGTGGCACCGCAGTTAGTATAAGGAGCTTAAAGACACATTGTTAATCTGATGTTTGAACTGCCAAAGGTTAGTAGAACCGGGAAAAGCTCCATCAGGCAGATTGTTTCACAATCTCCACACGCTCGGGACAAAGGAGCAGTCTTAGTGGTCAGTTATGCAAGTACAATGTTTGACACGATTAAGATGGGAGGCTAAGGTTATGCGGGTCTGCCTCACTGGCTCATCGCTCGGCAGTATCGTGAAGGAGAGATCTGAGAAGCAAAAGCCTTTGACATCGTGGAACAAGTGAGTCAGATCGTCGATGACCCGTTAGAGAAGAGTAATCCCCATGAACAGCATCAACCATGGTTAATGTAGTCGGGGCGGCAGCACCCCAAATATGTGCGTAGGCTAGCTCGTATCTGGGCATTGTATAGAGTGAGGAGGTTATACGGAGACAAGTACTTCTTAGCCCTAAACTAATAACCTACCTGTTTCCCAGCAGCTGCAGCTGCGATTGACGAGATATGTTCGTGCCAGATCAAGGCCTTGGTGATCTGGAATTAATGACGAAGCCTTTAACTGTGCCAGATTGTTGCGTCCCCTCCAGATATCTTGTCAGAGAGGCAGTCGCTGCAAGTTTTCTTCTCTCCAGTTCACCGGCAGAGATCGGTTTGACATTCTGAATTCCTACATTTAGAGTGCTGTCACCAGAAAAGCTGTGGTTCTAATTGATTGCACCGGGAATGAGGTTGTTGATATGTATTAGAAACAATGTCGGAGCCAAGATCGAGCGTTGGGAAAAACCTGCGTTGACATTGTGGGATGAAGAGAGAGAATTGGTCAATTAAGTAAGGGAGCCATATAATGGGAGTTTACATAAGAGGGCAGCATACAACAGCTGAGCCCCAATATATGAATGAGCTTACTCCATGGTTGCGTGACCGCTGGTACTGGAAACCGTACTTACTGTCGCTAATCAAGCC